TTCTTCGAATACCACTCATCATATTTTGGACACTCTGTTGACTAACCTGAGCGGTCATTTTGTTCCACCATCTCTTCATCTCTCTCGCATTCCGAGTCACCTTTCTACTCTTCTTCAACTTCTGTTTGACAACTGTCCAATATTTCTCAATTGGGCGGAATTGAGGGCAGTTGGGTGGATTGATGTCCTTTTCGTTGTCTCGATACCACCGTAGAACTTCTCAGCTGTAGTTGCGAAATCAAGCCAAAACTTAACAGGTCAATTGTGAGCCTTAACGTACGGAAGCATAGGTTTTCTCAGGCACTCCTGCTTAAACATTTTGGAATTCATAGTCTTGTTTTCACGAAAACCTGGGTTTTTAGTCCGCAGCTGCAAATACCTTGCCAGATCATAAGCTTTCTTGCAAATTTATCGGCAAAAACTAAAATCGGCTTTGTAGAACTTTTGTCCGGGAAGCTGGCCATAATCCATCTTCACGTACGTTTCGTCGTCCATGAGGATGCATCCTTCGTACTTTGTAAGAACCTCATTGTACAACTTCCGGGCACGTCTTTTGTCCACTAGATTCTGCATCAGTGTCCTGTTTGGTTGCTTACTGGCCCGAAAAGATCGAAATCCTTCTCACTGACGAATCCTTCTGACGGTGCTATCAAAGAACGAAGTGACAGACGACTAACTGGCGAAGAAATGAATTAAAATAATGTGGTTCGCTGTAATAGACTTTTCTTAGAAGCTTGTGCCATCAGCCACCAGATGGGCTAGTATTTTTGTTTTGATTTGAACGAAGTTGATTTCGTGTGCAATGATCTTTGACAGTATGCAAAGAGTGTATCATTTTATCATTTTTTATGCATTTCAGTTTTGAGTAGAGTGAAAAAGATAAAACCAAAACATTCTAGTACATTTGGTGAAAATGCTAATACAATCCAGTAGTAGCAACAATCAATACGAAACTAACGATTTTAAATTGGCTCACCACTTTAGTAGCCTATTGGTCCCAAGCAAACGATTAACGTACCCTATTCTAGTTGAAGTTCTATTACTACACTATGTTTGTTTTGATTCGCTATGAAAGTTTGACAGATAACATCAGGGGTGTGTGGATTCATGCAGAACATGCAGGGGTGAGTGAAATAGCTTGGGACTGCTTGGGACCGTTGTTCTGGTACTGAGTGAGCCAAAAATAATAATGATTTTCTTCGGGACCCAGTGGTCTTAGAGTTACCTCTATGGTAGTAGTGTTGCCATGTGGTACAATCAACAATCAATTCGAAACTATCGATTTTAATTGGCTCACTGGTCCCAAGCAAATCGATTAACGTACCCCATTCTAGTCAAAATTCTAGTACTACACTATGTTTGTTTTGATTCGCTATGAAAGTTTGACAGATAAAATGAGGGGTACGTGGATTTTCCTATATCTCGAGGGGTGCATCGATTAGCTTGGGACCGAAGATATTACCAGAGCTTTAGCTCGTGCCTTCGGGACCTTCTGGTCTTAGAGTTACCTCTATGGTACAATCCAGTAGTAGTGGTGCTATCATGTGGTACACTGAAAAATTGCAATAGCAGGTTCGTCACCAAAGTTTTCGAGCCACTCCGTCTGTCACTTCGTTTGTGGTTCTATAGCTGGCATTGAATTTCTTGCCAATATCATAATCCGACAGCCCTGGGTTTGCCCTAACCATGCTCAATACCTTCAAATGCAGCTTCCGATCCTTAGTTCCCCTACGACGCTTGCTATGATTTTGCCGATCGATAGTATGACGCTCACGGAAAACGTTTGAGAACACTGCATACGGTCGATTTAGTCAATTTCAATGACTTCGTGATTTTTTAACCTGACCAAGTTGGATTTTCCAAGTGGGTGTCCAAAATTAATGTTCGGTTCGTGGCTTCCATCCCATCAAGTATAACTTCTTTTAAACAAAATGAATCGTGACGAACTTTTCAGCACTGAAAGAGGAAACATTTCAAAACAAACTGCTGTCAAAACATTTCAGATCCGACCGCTAGCACTGCAGTAAAATAAAAAGTGCGTCCAGATATTAAATGACTCAAGCTTTATTTAACACTAGGTCATAGCAAACTAACGATTTTAAATTGGTTCACTACTTGACTAGCCTATTGGTCCCAAGCAAACGAATAACGTACCCTATTCTAATCGAAATTCTAGTACTACGCAATGTTTGTTTTGATTCGCTATGAAAGTTTGACAGATAAAATGAGGGGTTAGTTAATTTTCCTATGTTTCGAGGGGTGAATCTATTAGCTTGGGACCGAAGATAGTACCAGAGCTGAGCCAAAAAGTTGAGCACGTTATTTCGGGACTTTCTAGTCTTAGAGTTACCTCTATGGCCATCGGGTGATAGATTGAGCTTGAAAATTCTTTTAGAAAACAACTACGAACATTTGAATAGTCGAACGGAAAAATGGTTTTCGTAACTTAAAAAAGATGGAAAGCTCCGTTAATATTGGAGAAATGCTCCTTTGCTGCGCAGCTACTCAGATTTACGGGCATCATTGAGGATAAGCTTCTAAAAGAATCTACTTGAGAAGATTCTAAAAGAAGATCCTAAAAGAAGCTTCTTTTGCAAGCTTATTCTAGACGCTTACCTGTCGCTCCACTCCTCTGACTAAAGCAAAAGCACGAGCAGGACAATATGTCATCGTTTCAATATTGCGTTCCCATAGCTGCCTACTCGAACTGAAACTTTAACGAAGATTATTATGCCAGGCCAGTATTTCACATTCTCGAACATAAACTTTAACTTTAACTTTAAATTTTAAAGATTTCAGATTGAAAAAAATGGGGTTTTAGGGATAATTCTAAAAGAACTATGGGTTGAATACCAATGCACAATGGTCCCAAAGCCGTATTAACATAGAGTTAACTCTAAGACTAGAAGGTCCCGAAATAACGTGCTCAACTTTTTGGCTCAGCTCTGGTACTCTCTTCGGTCCCAAGCTAATCGATTCACCCCTCGAAAGATAGGAAATTCCACTAACCCCTCATTTTATCTGTCAAACTTTCATAGCGAATCAAAACAAACATTGTGTAGTAGTAGAATTTCGACTAGAATGGGGTACGTTAATCGTTTGCTTGGGACCAATAGGCTAGTCAAGTAGTGAGCCAATTTAAAATCGTTAGTTTCGTATTGCTGTTGGTATTAAGGAAGATAAAAATGTTTGCGCTAAAACCGTTGGTTTTAGGCATATAGTGTATTCGGGAAAGTTTCTTCATATTTTTTGGAAAATCTTTTCATGTTAGTAAAAAAAGAGTGGTCCATAAAATTGATGAATTGAAAATGCGAACTTTTTTATTATTTAGGATAGACTAATGCAATGTTCTAAAAAGTTGCAGAACAATAAATTTGCAGTAACTTTGCTGAAGACACCAAATTTTCATCTCTTATGATTCATGAGTTAGGATTTTTTTAACAAGCAGATTAGATTGAAAAATTGGTTTTCAATGAATATCTTTTCATACGTTCATTTCTCGTAAAAACGATGTTCTAGACACTTTTAGAACTTTCAATGGCAAATATAACTTAGCAACCAAGTTGCTATATTTTTTATTGGAAAGTTAAAGGCGATTTTCTTTAAAAAAAAAATTGCAGTTTTCAAGCAAAGCTGCTGCAAATTGATTGTTCTGCAACTTTTTAGAACATTGCATTGGTCTATCTCAAATAATAAAAAGTTCGCATTTCCAATTCAACAATTTTATGGAACACTTTAATTTCACTAACATGAAAGATCGGCCAAAACATATGAAGAAACTTTCCCGAAGACACCATATGCCTAAAACCAACGGTTTTAGCGTAAACATTTTTGTCTTCCTAAATACGGCTTTGGGACCATTGTGCAATGGAATTTAACTAAAGTTAATTTCATTCAAGGTGTTTTTATGTTACTTTATACGTGAAGTTTACGATTTTCAGAGTTGGTTGGAAATGCTATATAACATGAAGCTTTGGTGTGATAATTTATTAGCTAGAGAGAAAGGTCTGAAGAGGGTAGGTAGATAGTTCCACTAGAGTACGGCAGTATGGAAATTGAATAGAAGTTGAAAATGAGCGAAAGGCCATTAATGCGGCAGTACTAGTCAAACGCACACTTTTTTACCTAGCTCATATAAAGTATGAGGAGATTTGAAGTATTTTTTTTTTCAAATCTACAGGCCTTACTTACTTACCTGACTTACTTACTATTCTAAGGTAATTCGGAGCCTCTTTCCTTCACCGTGAATTAAACCTACAGTAAACTTGACTACATGATTTCAACCTGTAACTACATAGAACGCATAGAACGCTAAAGGAAGCCGTTAAGGGCAGACGCAATGTTCGTGTTAGAAGATGTATTCCAAAGAAGAAGACTTGAAAACAGTTGTTGACAAGCATTCACTTGAAAAACCTTACCAAATTTATATAACTAGAAATGTAATTTAAAATTACTACCTACATCGAGCTCGAGTATTCTTCACATCCACATTGAAAAAACATCAGTAAGTCTGGGAAATCTGTTTGATCTTTCTTTTGTCAATCACGATTTGCCACCTCTGTATTCTCCGTAAAACAGCGTTTCACACCCTTTACTTTAACACCACATAGCACGTAACAATTATTTTCTACCTTGAAAGAAGAACATTAGAGAGCCAACAAAAGAAAATGTGTAACAACTCTGAAAATCAAATTATTTCCATCCATCAAGCCTACGGCGGGCGTGAAGCAATTGCATAAGACCCCTCTCGCTAATCCCTCTCAACCAGCATACGACTATTGGCCTGACTTCCACCAATTGACTTGAATTGTTGCAATGATCGAATTTTCGCTAATTGACATCTGTGTAAAAGCATGTTCAATGCCTGCATATTGGCAATAGCACATTTTTCCTTCTCAAACCAGCCTAGACCCCCAGCATCCATCTGTTTCCGTTTGTGCCAAGTCGCGAAAAACGAGTGAAATTAATACACTAATCATTCTTTTCTCAATTGCTCACAGCCATCACGCTCTGCACGGTGGTAGAAACAGCAGCGGCAACCTGCAACACCATCTGACCCGCCGCTCGCTGTCCTCCCTGTCGTCTTCATCCTCGTCGACGTCCTCCTCGGCATCGTGCTACGCTACGGATGACCCGTCCAAGATGGCCATTACCTCGATCAGGCGGCTGCAGCAGACCAATCTACTCCATCCGCAGCAGCAGCAGCAGCAAAAGCAGACCTCGCTTTCGGCGCCAAACTTGTTCTACGGATTCGGCAGCAATGGGACTGCAAGTGCCATCATCGCCACCAGCAATAGCAGCAATGTGAAAATGGGCAAACTGGTGCAGCTGCCCATTGCCGGGGGGACGGCGAGGCTGCTGGAGCGGGGCGGGGTCAACGGGCAGAAGATGTACAAGATTCTCACCATCAACGAGGACGACGCAGATGATGATGGGTAAGTGTCGAGAACCCGAAATCTCCTAATGTTTGAACCGTTTTGAACTGAGCAATGGATACAAAACTTAAAACTCTCCTCAAGTAGCATAGTCGTCAACACACGCACTTCAAGCGCGATAAAATTGACCCAAGCCGGTGACGGCGCGCGAGGTTGAGCGTTTGGGTATGACATAATTTCTCAAGCGATTCGGGGATTTTTACCAAACAAGGTTGGCGATGTGACTTTTGATTCGGCACGGCATTCATTCGTTAGCCAGTTCAGTACTGTGTTGTCATAGTTTCGAGCTCGAGTACGCAAGGTGATTCTGGTGGTGTGTTTGTTTTGTTATTTAACCCTTCAATACAGCAGTATGATCTTCAACCATCAACCATAATGAAGTCATTGAGTTTGGATTTGTGTCATTGTAGTAAGTAGAGCAGTGATAATTTGATGAACTATGAATCATATAGCAAACAGGTTTGAATACTTTTGTGTTTGGTTCTCACTGTAAGCGCGGGTACGGCATTTTAGTGATAATACATTGCACAGTGGTCCAGAATGCAGATTTAGGTGGAATTATATGTTTTGAGCCTGAAATTGAAACTTTAGACTAGAAGTCTCTTCTACAAAGTTAGTTAGGCCCTTATTTTTATGACAATGAATTCTAGGGTGGTTCTTATTATGATTAAAATTAAAAATCTAACTAAAAGTTAGATTTTTGATTTTAATGATAATTAAAACCACCCTATAATTGTCATAAAAATAAGGGCCTAGCTATTAGGAACAACTTTGTAGAAGAGACTTTTAGTCTAAAGTTTCAATTTCAGGCTCAAAACATATCATTCCACCTAAATCAGCATTCTGGACCACTGTGCATTGGGAGTTCCAATAAAACCGGTCATCTAGAATTTTACAAACGAACCATAAGGGAAATAGCTCTAATGACTCACTATGAGTCGCGAACTTTTCCCTTGGTGACCTTCGTGAAATATTGCGAGCTTTTCAATACCTACAAGCGTTATTACAAAAAAAATGCTTCATTTCGACTTGGGTAATGAGGGTCCCGTTCTTTAGATTTTCGTAGAACAATACGTCATCTGGAAATTACAAATGGATATTTTTGGTTGCCTGTGAAACATTGTCAAAAATATGCTTTCCTTCGAAATGTGTGTATGGGCCCAATATTAGAGACACTTATGCCGACATTAGGGACATTAACCTTATACACAATTTGTATTGGCTCGAGAAAAGACCCTAGAGCGGCTCTACGCAACGATATGGCGAATCGATCTGGCGAATCGATCTGGCGTGACCTTCTCCGGTTCGCATTAAACTTTGCATAATTGTTTGTTATGGTAAATTCAAGCCGTTAATGCGGTAAACACGGCAACAAACGGTCTTGTGGCCATGTTATTGGCGTAAAAGAAAGTCAAAGAAGAGAATCGATCAATGTTACTTAGGACCTAATGACAGGGCTGGTAGCCATCACTGCTGTCAAAAATAGTGATTTTAGTAACCATGTTGAAGAAATAAGTGACTAAATAGTGACTGATAGTTGTAAAAATAGTGACTAAAAAGTGACCCTGAATTGAATTAAACATAAATTTTATTGAAAACTCTTAGGAATTTCTGAGGAGCACAACTCCTGAGAACTTCAAAGGAAAATTCCAAGGGCATTCTGAGAATAATTTCATAAAGTGTGTGGGAGAAAACAAATTTGGAGCATAAGACCTTGGATTTTTTTTTTTTTAAATACTAAAAGAAGGATTACAATTAAATCTGAGAATAACTCCACGACATCTTCAAAGGAATTCGGAAAATAAATTAAGGAGAGTTTGCCAAACAAATTATGAGAAAAATTTAGAGAATTTGTGAGTAGAAATGCCAATGAATTCTAAGGAGACTTTCAATGTGAGTAGAATTGCAAGGGAAGGAATGAGATTCAAAAGGAAATCTGATAATTTTCATGGAATTAGAATGAAATAATTAGTATAGTTTTATGATTTTCACTTAAGTTCTAACGATTTTTCTGAAGTTCATGAAACTTCCATTAAATTATCAACACTAATTTAAAACTTCTTCAATAGTCTAGACTTTCCGGGTGTTATTAAAACTGCCTAAACGAATTTCTTTAAAGTTCTCTAGGTTGCCCTGAATTTATCAGTATTTTTTAACAACCCGCAACTTCACTGAAATTAATTGATTTGCCTTGAAGTTTGGACAATTTTCCTTAAGTATTCTAACCATTAAAAACGCTCACTAATTTTCCCTGAACTATGGTTACCTGAAGTTCTCTAAATTTGTTTGTACGGCAAATTTTCTGATATATATTATATATTTAAAATTCCCTGACGTTTTTAGATCAATCATAGAATTCTTGGAATACCCCATAATTCCACAGAATTCCTTGTAAGTCGCTGCAAATTTGCTTAAGTTAATGGGATTATTCTTTAGCTATTTGATCGTCCTCGAAGTACTCGGAACTTCACTGAATATCATGAAACTATCTAAATTCTAAGTTCTCTGGAATTTCTGGAATATATTTATCGCTGCTTGCTAAAAGTTCTCGCATTTTGTTTTAAATGAATGGAACTTCGTTGATATTCTCTAATCAACTTAGCTAAACTTTCGTATTTTTTAAAGTTCTTGATATTTCCATGATATAACACCCTTAAAGTACTCTCACGTTTTCCGGATGTTCATATAATTTTTATCACGTTTCAGAAGTTCTATCGGAGCTTTGTTGAAGTTTCTGGAACTTCTTTAAGGTTCCCACAATTTTCTTTAAATGATTTGAACTGTCCTTGATTATCTGATCTATCTTGATGTTCTCGGAGCTTCACTAAAGCTCTCAATTCTATTGAAGATAAATTTTCCTGAAATTCTTTGGACTTCTGTGAAGTTCCTGAAATATTTATGAAGTTTTCTTAAATTATCTGATGGTCTCTGTACTTCCCTGAAATTCTCGGAACATCTTAAGGGTTCTCAATTTTCCTAAATTTACGATTATAGATATTTAAACTGCTCTAAAAGTCTGAACTAAAGTCATGGGAACTGCTCTTAAGATCTGAAATTCCCCAAAGATCTCTAGATCTAGCTTTTCTGAGGTGCTTAGATGTTTTTTTAATTTGCACAATACAGTGAAGCCTCCATTTACGAACCAAAACGGGGGTTCGTAAATCGAATTAGTGCGTAAAAAAAAAACCTCGTTATTTGGGATTTACTTCGTAAAAAGAGGTTTTTGAAAATATTGTCAAATACCCCACAATATGGGTATTTTTGGAATCAGGGTGACGTGTAGGGACCGGAAATTGATGTGTGACGCCATTTTGGAATCCAAGATGGTGGTTTCCGGTACCAAAAAAAACTTGAAAATTCTGTCAAATACCCCACAATATGGGTATTTTTGGAATCGGAGTGACGTGTAAGAACCGGAAATTTATGACTGACGCCGTTTCGAAGTCCAAGATGGTGGCTTCCGGTAACATAAAAACAGAAAAATAATGTTAAATAACCCACAATATGGGTATCTTAAGAATCAGGGTGACGTTTAGGAACCGGAAATCGATGTCTGACGCCATTTTGAAATCCAAGATGGCGGCTTTCGGTTGCAGGAAAACAGAAAAATACCGTTAAATACACAACAATATGGATATTTTTGGAATCGGAGTGACCTGTGAGAACCGAGAATCCATCTCTGACGCCATTTAAAAATCCAAGATGATGACATCCGGTTACAGAAACACTGGGAAATACTGTCAAATACCCCACAATATGGGTTTTTTGAATTGGGGTGACTTATTAGGACTGAAAACCCATGTCTGACGCTATTGTGGAATTCAATATGGCGACTTCCACTTACATAAAGACATAAAAATAATGTTAAATAACCTACAATATGGGTATCTTAAGAATCGGGATGACGTGGTGGTATTTGCCAATTTTTTCTGTAACCGGAAGCCGCCATCTTGGATTTCGAAATGGCGTCAGACATAAATTTCCGATTCTTACACGTCACTCCAATTCTAAAAATACGTATATTATGGGGTATTTGACAGAATATCCAAGCTTTTCTGTTACCGGAAGCCGCTATCTTGGATTTCAAAATGGCGTCAGCCATTGATTTCCGGTCCCTAAACGTCACTCCGATTCCAACAATACCCATATTGTGGGGTATTTCACAGTATATCCCAGTTTCTCAAAATCACAAAAAAAAACTCGTTATTTGGAATTTACTCCGTAAAAAGAAAACTCGTTATTTGGGATTTACTTCGTAAAAAGAGGGACGTGAATTGAATACTGCGTAAAAAAAGACTTCGTAAACGGAGGTTTCAGTGTACCCCTCAACGTTTATATATTTCTCAAGTTTGCTTAACACCTATGATGTGCCCTGAAATTCTAGGAACTTCATAAAAGTTTCTGAAAATTTTAGAATGTTAAAAGAACCGATTTAAGGATCTTAAAGCTTCCAGTAAGTTCCCCATAATTTCAGTGTGTTAACTTCCCTTATGTTCCCGCAGTTTGTTTATGGAGCTTTACTGAAATTCTCAGAATTTCCTTTCATTCCTCAGAACTTCTTCAAAGTTCCTACAATTGTTGTGAAGTTAATGGGGCTGCAATGAAGATCTCTAATATTTCGTAAAGTTAATTACGAACTTGAAATAAATCATTTAATGTTTTCCTTAATTCAGGCACTTTGAAAATGTTCAATATCTTGAACTTGAACATAGAATACGAAACTACAAGACAGTGAATATTTTTAGATTTTGGACTTACTCAAATTAAGTACGTTTTTTAAACTGTGAACAGTGAAAAATTAAGTTCAACATTCATTGGATTTGATTACAAACTTGTTTCTTTAAAACTGATTGCCATGTCTTAAAAACGCTTGGGTTAGTTACTGTTGATCTTCCAGAAAAAGCATATTTTGAACGCATTAAAAAAAAAGCTTTCTTATTATAAGCCTTGAATTTTTCTTTCCTTTATTTAACGTCGGTCTCTGTTCCGCAATCTAGTGC